TCAAACAGATGTGTGAACAGTGATGTTGTATTCAAGAGATGAATTTGGAAATAACGGGTAAACAAGGCAATGGTGGACTTAACAATGAGCAGAGGGTTCTTGGAAAGCATACAAGAAAATAAAACTAGGAAGGGAACAGTGAGCTTACCAGAAAAGAGGGAAACGGATATGAGAGCGCCGAGTCTGACGACAATTGACAGAATGACGTAAAGCTCTCACTGGGAGAAGGAGAAACGGAGGGACAGTTGCAGAAGCTTGAAGCTTGGAACAAAAGACGGATTTTTTAAGCAAAAGAGAGCTTGGAAGAGAAATCAAGCCAGAGGGATTTAAATGAAGAGAAAAGAGAAAAAATACCGTCAAGAAGACGGACAAGTTCAAAAGAATAAAGCCAAGTTACATCAGGCACTAAGTAAGTATGTTGAAGAATAAGAAAGTAATGACCCAGACACCCAATGCTAGCAAAGAAAGTGGATATGACAAGAAAAGTGCCAGGAATTCAAACAATTCAAACTTGAAGAAGGTAATTGAAAATAGAAGCAACAGATGGCAATAAACAGATTCAAAGGTAAATTCAGAAGGAGTTAAGAAAGATTGAGCTTAAAAGGTAAGTAAAGAGTTTTTATGAACCTACAAAGTGAAATGAAGGCCGATATGAAAATCGTCCGGAGTCAAATAGATGACTGAAAACAGGGAACACTCACCAGAGGAGTTGTGAGTGGAGCAGTTCAAAGCTCTTGGAGTTTACGATTAATGAAACCAGAACCTCCGGCTAGGAGGTGCGATTCAAGCAGCTTGGAAAGCATGAAACTTTGATTTCTTGACACCAGTGGGACAGCGAAAGTCAGAACTTTGAGGTCGGCAAGTGTTTGATCTCAGACAGAGGGCACAGAGAACGAAACAGTGTAGGGTTCCATTCATAACCTCAGAATTGCGAGGTAATAGAAACCATACGGGGGCAGTTGTGGGATATATTGTTCTGAGAGTACAAACAGTGGGCAAACGGTGGACCGACCGGACAGATCACGTGTCAGCCCAAGGGTGCCACTGTCTTGGGTCGCTGTTGCCGAGGTCATTCGGCTAGGCCGAAGGTTGCCTCCGAAATATCGGAATCCGATGATAAGCGGATAAGAGGAACAAGGTCCTAGAATGAAGAGGGAAACTCAACTTGGATATTTGGACAAGAGGTCCTAGATTTGAGAGAAGACTTC